ACCCCGCCAGACGACGCAACATCATGCCGCTAGTCAAACCACTCAACATCATGCCGCTAGTGGAAACACTGCTGCTGCAAGGCGCGAACAACTACTCCGATGCGCTGCTGCGGTCGATACTCGGTTGCGACAAGGCGACAGCCAAAAACGTGAACATCCTTCAGAACGCGGCCATCTGGTACGCGTGCTCCGTGATCAAGCGCGCGAACGGCACAGCATCCCAACCAATAGGATACCGAGCGTGCTGTGCGCCGGCGACCATCCTCCTCGTGGATCTGGTGCAAAGCCGCCAACGCGACTGACAGCACTGTTGCTTCCACCAGATCGTCGCCGGTCCCCATATCGGGCGCACCGCGCTGACAACAAAGCACCGGGTCTGCGCGTGTGAGGTGCTGTGCTGCTGTCACGCGCTGTGCTGTGCTGTGCTGTGCTGTGCTGTGCTGTGCTGTGCTGCTTTATGGTGCGCTGTTGTGCACTGTCGGGTGCTTCCAGCGACCAAACAAAGCAGGTGTGGTGGGGGGTCTGTGTGATACACCCCCCCNCATATCGGGCGCACCGCGCTGACAACAAAGCACCGGGTCTGCGCGTGTGAGGTGCTGTGCTGCTGTCACGCGCTGTGCTGTGCTGTGCTGTGCTGTGCTGTGCTGTGCTGTGCTGCTTTATGGTGCGCTGTTGTGCACTGTCGGGTGCTTCCAGCGACCAAACAAAGCAGGTGTGGTGGGGGGTCTGGTGATGCACCCCTCCCCCTAGGTTTGGATTTCCAACTAGCTTTTTCAACTCGGTCGCGATTTGAAAATTTCTGAAATTTTCAACTGCGCATATGAATGCCCTCTACTCTGGGTGAACGGAGAGTCCGGGGTTGTGGTGGCTATGTCCTGCCACCGGAGGTTGGCTATTTCCTTTGGTGCAATGTGGCGAGGAATGCCAAGCGTGACCGAGTGAACTCAGTCAAGCTAGGGTGGTGCGGAGAGTGGGCGAGCCTTCGTGGACCCATTTCCCATTCTCCTAAAGATCCATCAACTCTTCCCAGCCGTTGGGGGTCATAAGAGTTGGGGACCCTCGGAGAACAGTAATCTATTATCACATATTCCCTCAGATCCTACTCTTTATGTGCGTGTGTCTGTGCTCCCTGAATCTCCATATCTTGGCCTCCACACGCAGAGCGTTTCCATTTTTTTTGGCCCGAGTTGAAAATTTATTTCTCAAAAAATTCGATTTTCCAAACCGCAAGAAGCTCTGTTCGGCTGGGAATTGAAATATTCAATTTTTCAACTGGAATTTTTCAAACCGTAAGAAACCGCCTTACGGCGTGATTTTTTCGGAGTTTTTTTTTCTCTCGGTCGGGGGGGGGGGGGCCTGCATTGCAAATATTATCAAGATCCAAACGACCGTCTTCGGTTCCTCGAGGGATACTTTTTTCTGAAGGGAAAAAAGAGGCTGATTCATGTTCTTGTGAGTCACAACATGCTTCAGTACACGGTTTTGGCTCGTGTGCGACCAACAAGACACCGAGCGCCCTGTTTATGGGTCGCCTGCAGAGGGCATGTGTATCATCGCACGCCAGTGGCTGCAGTTTGTGGATGTCGCCGGCCAAAGCCCTCTCTCTGATGGCATGCGTTGTACACTGATCACACACGACTCGGAGCAAGCAGCAGAAAAAAAAAGCAACGTCCAAAAAAGGCAACACCGAACCACACCTCGATTCACGTTTGCAGGCCGTGTGCAATCAAAACTGGACAATACGCTCTGTTTCTGGGACGCGAGCAGGGGGTATGTATATGACCACCCGCCACTGGCTACTGTTTGTCGATGTCGTCGGCCAAAGACCTCTTTCTGACATGCGTTTTTGACTGGTCGCGGGTGACACACGGAGCAAATACGCGGCGGAACAAGAAAAAAGCCCAACAAGTCAACACCGCAACACACTTTGGTTCACGTTTGCAGGCCGGGTGCAATCAAAACTGGACAATACGCTCTGTTTCTGGTACGCGAGCAGAGGGTATGAGTATGACCACACGCCATTGGCTGCAGTTTGTGGATGTCGACGGCTTAAGGCCTCTCTCTGGCATGCGTTTTGAACTGGTCACACACCCAGCAGGCGCAAAAAACGCTCTTTTCGGCCCAAAGGCAAGAACGTCAGCAGAGCAATGTGGCAGGGTTGACGTTTTCGGCTCGTGTGCGGCCAACACGACGCAGAACGCCCTGAAATTTAGATACCTGCAGAGGGTTTGTGCATGACCTCATGATACTGGCCCCTGTTTGGCCAGCAGACGGTGTAGTTCCTCGTTCTGGCACGATCGGGGTGTGACCATGGGGTACCTCCCTCCATTACTAACAGGCCGGCCGGAATCGCTGTTGGAATTTGCGCGGTTGGATTTTGGGCTGTTGGAATTTGTCATTTTCCTATCCGTAAGACGCCCAAATTATTTGTTTGGCTCAGAAAAGGACCCCCCCCGCAAATCCAATCGGGAAATAATCAGACCGCAAGACTCAGTCTAAATTTGTAGGAGCACAAATTAGAATGAATCATGCCACAGCTTTGGAAAATGTAAAGCAGCCACCTGCTTTTGCTATTCCGTCTCCGTGTAAGAGTTCGAAGTTGAGCCGATCTGTATGTATTTGCCGATTGGCTTCGGAGCTTTTTCTCTGTTTTCATGAACCTTCGCTCAGAGGGCGCGCTAATGATCACGGTGGTGGAGGCGGCTGTGTGGGTCTGACGCATGATCACTGCTAGCGGGAGCGGATCGAGAGGTGGTAGACAGGCTCGGTCGCTTCAAAGAGTCTCACTTATTCTCGATAGACATCCCCGACCAGCGTTTGAGACGGGACCCGACCTGTCGATGTTGGGCTCCGCGCAAAACGTTAAAGAAATCAACGAGGAGTGAGTGCAGTACTGCATCTCTCGACCCCCGTACGTCTATTTTAAGGCGACCAATAGAGCAGGCAAGCAAAAATAGCTCGCCTCGACAATCTCTGAGTTAGTCACATCGGCCCACAGCGTGCGTAGATATACAGATGGCGCCCGCACTTAAGAACCTCTAATATAGTTTCGGCCGAGGCTGGGGTTCTTGTTTTGCTGATCATCCTCTTGTGGGCTACAAATGGCCGCTATATAGGTTTTAGTGTCGGGTTCGTAACCGAGCTCACAAATGGTGCTCAAGTTCTTAGCTTTTGATTTTTTGCGAGTCTCAATTTCTTAACTGCTAAGTTCTTAAGTGCGGGCGCCATCTGTAGAACAACCAATTATGGGTGTGCTATCCGGCAGGCTCGTGGATGTTCCCAAGAAACCATTGCCGCCGTATGGTCTACCTGTTCCATTGGTACACCGAACATTTCCATCACACCCGCACTACATACATATCCGGTTCCAATCACCGTGGAGCGCGGGAAACCATATCAGTAGCCCTCCTCCCTGGGCGCTTACTTTGCAACTCAAGCTGTGCTGCCGTTCCCCGCCAGTGTTTTGCGTTGCTGCAGCAGCTGCTTCCTCAACAGTTGAATTCCGCAACAACTGCTGTGTCCGAAAAACCTACAGCACAGGGCAAACAAGAGCACCGAGGCTGAACCCCTCAGGAGCGTTCGAGGTACGCAGGCAGGGGAGAAAAAGCCATTGGTCAACAGGAGAACGTAAGTACGGTTGTATTGTCGACCATGTATTTATAGACGCCTCGTCTGAACACAAGTTTCACTGAATCTGGATGGGAAGAGTGCTGGCCCTCCTCTGTGTGTGCTTTTTTCTCATCGGTACTTTCAGTATACAAACGTGCAGCATCCGGCCTACTGTGAAATCTCGGGACATTAGAATTCTCGACGAAGTCGTCAACGATTCCCCGGTAGGTGTGTCTTTGTTGGAGTGGAAGCACGGTCTAGAACATGTTGGTCCCGGTCGACGCCTGTAGAAATTTCTACATCGTCGATCATCCCACGACTCTGACATCATTTGAACGTGTGATGTGAGTGACAGTAGTGTACAACATGGGCTGCACACGGTAACGGTGGCGAGTTAACACGTTGGTGAGTTTACCCTTCCTGGCAGAGCCATTCTCCACGGCGGTACGCAGATTGCGCTTTTTGTAACCGTGAGACAAGGCATATCAAGGCATGTGTGCAGGGAACGCACGCCTGATGCTAGCCTCATCTCAAAGAAAGATCAGCCAAACCACAGACAAGCTCGCACCATGCTTATCTTTGGAAGCAGAGGACGGGTGCCCGCGTAGAGCGAGAAAGTCATGGCGTGCCCATGAACGCTTCGGTTTGGTAGAACCGCTGTCGACTCTCAGGGGTGTCTTTTTCTCGCTGCTGTAATTTTGTCGTGAAATCAAAGACAGCATAGCAGTCGCATTGGTGCGGAGCAAGCAATTCGATGGCACAACCTCCTGCTAACATGTGCGGGCATCCTCGTGATAAATGAGTGCTTTCCGCAGTCCTCGTTGTGCGATTGTCTGGCATGGAGAGACCAATCTGAAAAAGCGCGCAAATACTGGCCGAGTTAGCACCAGGAGTCGAGTGTTGACGATGAATGTTATCGAGTACAGACAATGGTCGACACGGTAGCGTGCCCTCTGCTCATCGGCAAGTGCGTCGCCACTCAGTCAAAAAATATCTTGTCCTTGTCAGCCAAAGCCTATCACATGGCCGATTTTGGTACGTTTGTTTTCGTAGGGAGTGTTGTTGCGCGATGAAGACTTGCCAAACGTTCATGTTGCGGCAAGCACGTCCACCTACGTGAACTTGAGCCCTACCACGCATTGCCTTACACTTACGCACGCACTTGTAGAATGCCCTTCGCAGAGTACACCGTGTCCGTGAGGTGGATTATGTCATCCTTACGAACGCTACTGCGGTAGTACTTATGTATGGTTTGAGAGCGAGAAAGTGTGCAAGTGACCGCTCCACAGCCGTGGATCTTCGGGGTATCTCCCGACGTGTCTTTGGTAGTTGATTTTGTTCCGAGCTGCGGAAAGTCTAGTCTATGCGTCTTTACGTCGGTGAATTTCTTGCGACTGTTGCTTGATGCTTTGTGGCGCACTTGGCGCCCACTCTCTCCTGTTGCTTGTCTACGAGGGCAACCTAATAAACGACTTTACCACCTCTTCATTCTTGTCAACCGAGTCAGCCGTGCTTATCTAGCAGCACTATAATAGGCTTGAAACCAATCAACACTCTAGAGCGAAGGTTAACCCCATATTACTTTGGTGAAGCGGACACATGTCGGCTGGATCTGGAGATGCTGGCAAGGGCAAGGCAGCCCCGACTCACGAGGAACTCAGGAATGCTGTCAATCAGGCCACCGCCAGAATGGAGAGTATGATGACCGAGAAGTTAGGGACCGTCATGGAAGCCTTGTCTCGGTTAGTGCCCGAGACAGCGTCCGCCGCAAGTATGGCCGCAGCGGGCGGCAGGGGAGAGTCACGGGGGGGGAAGCACGCCCCTCCCGGCGCTGATCGTGTGGATCAAGCGCCAAACACCGGACGAGGACTCAAGGGAGCGAGAGGACTGCTGGGGCCGGCGCAGCAAGGACCCACGCCATCTGTGGGGCGGGACGTCTCGCGCGAAAGCGCTCACCGTGAGCCAGTCAGCGTGGGGTGCGCTCGAACAGACGTCTTCGCCCTCGAACGGCGGCGAGCAGATGTTCCTCACCGGAAAGCTTTCACCGTCCGACAGGAGGAGAGTCAGAGCGAAACAGGACACGATAGAACAAAAAACGGAAGGGACGAAGAGGCGTACGCGGCAAATGATGGGGGCTGCTGTCGGATGTGACGTGAAACACTGCGCATCGAAAGTTTAGAAAGAGTGAGACTGCCGTGTGCGTAGTTGAATTTTGTGAAGATGTGTCGAGTTGCGGACGTCGATTCCACGAAGCACTCTGATTTTTTCTCGATCTGTTTCGGGCCTTGTGCATCAACGCCCCTCCCCTTGCGTGCGAATCGGTCGGACGGTCTGCACCTGCAAGGAGGAGCCTTCAATGATGCGACTGCTGTCGGGAGAAATATAGACCACAACTTGGAGCATACGAGACTCTTTTCTGGTGTTATTTCTCCGGGTGTGTGTGTCTTGTTTTTCCTGATTTACTTGCTGCCCCCTTGTGGTTGTAGCTGTTACGCAGGCAGCCTACGAAACTCGACGTCGCTTGTCTGGTTCCCCATGCTCATCTCAGTAGCTCGTCGTACAGGTAGATGCACGAGGCGTCCCTGCATGATGAATATTGATGGTGGTGTGCCATTCTGTTGTCTCATTTTGGTATGGATGACCCGGGGCGCCGCGGTCACACTGATTGGATTGATGATGTCGGAATTATTCTCCAGCCCATACAGTTTGAGGCTGAGATATTTGCTCTGAAATCAGGGAGGGTTGACGTAGAAAGCTGCGCCCCCTTTTTTCGTGATGAATGGCGACCAGTGTCTCCCATTGTAGCAGTACCAGCAAGTGGGTCGATGTGCTGTTTTGGTCGAGATACTGCTTGATCTTTCATTGATGCACAGGTCGAGGGGGGCACCCTTCCCTGCGATGTGATTAATTGCCCTCTTATATGTCCTTCCGCTGAGAACAATGTAGCGTCGGTTTTCGCTTTTCTGTTATAGATCGACAACGGTGCTCGGGGTTGTAGACGAGCCCCGGTGCTGACGGCTGGGAGGACACTGCTTGAAAATTCGTAGTGAAGATGTCTGTTACCAGTGCGATGTACCAGCAAGGTTGCTGGAGAACTGTTTGCGGTTGAGTGCTGCTTGGTCTACCACTGATGTACAGGTTTTGAGGGGGGCACCTCTTCCTGCGATTTGGTAGACTGCCCTTTTTTTGACGTCAGTTGGGAGCGATGTAGCGTCAGATATTCTTTCGTTTTCCGCTGTGATGAGCGATGTAGCGTCAGATCTTTCGTTTTTCCGCTGCTACTTGGCATTGGTGCTTGGGGCTGTAGGCGCGCCCCGGTGCTAACAACAACTTGATACAGGAGGGATCTCGTTGCTGGGAGGGGGCTACTTGAAGAGGAGTAGCAAATATTTGATATTATTTGTAAACGCGGAGGTTTGCAATTTGGTGATTGCTGTGTTGATTTTGTGTTGACAAGTCATTCAGCGGGATGACCTTGGAGGCGGAGGGTTTTGATCCGGTGGCCGGGTTTCCCTTCGTATTTTTTTGCTTTACTATGTTGTTGTTGTTGTTGTCTTCACATTAAACCGTATGTCAATTGCTAAATGCCAAAATCTAGCAAAGACTCTCAGCCCGTGGTCACGAAAGTGCAAGAGCCATCTGAGGATATACTATGAGTACCCTGAATACTTTGGTTTGTGCCAGCATTCGTGACGATGTACAGAATCAAGGAGGGTGTCCGTGAGGTGGATTATGTCATCCTTACGAACGCTACTGCGGTAGTACTTATGTATGGTGTGAGAGCGAGAAAGTGTGCAAGTACCCGTTCCACAGCCGTGGATCTTCGGGGCATCTCCCGACGTGTCTTTGGTAGTTGAAATTGTTCCGAGCTGCGGAAAGTCTAGTCTACGCGTCTTTACGTCGGTGAATTTCTTGCGACTGTTGCTTGATGCTTTGTGGCGCACGTGGCGCCCACTTTCTCCTGTTGCTTGCCTACGAGGGCAACCTAATAAACGACTTTACCACCTCTTCATTCCTGTCAACCGGGTCAGCCGTGCTTATCCAGCAGCACTAGGCTTGAAACCAATTAACACACCGACCGCACCTAACCAAAACGACGTTTTCAAACGAACTCCCGCTCGCGCGTCGAGAACAGTGAGGCCGCGGCAAGAGCCAACAAGCGCAAGTCTGAAAACAAGCGGGAGGGCATGCGCAAGGTGGAGCTCTCACCCAACGGCGACCCGGTCAACTGGCGAAGGGTCAAGGAGGCCGGCGTGTGGTTTTGGATCAACGATGTCACCGGGGTGGCCACTGACGAGTGTCCGCACGAGTCTCTTCGGCCGCCGAGGGCTGCAAGGAAGCGCAGCATGCCGCGGGAGGGGTCGATAGCCGGCGACGGTTCCGAGACCCTTCTAGAGTGTCTCGACATCGACTTTGACGGGCAGGAGGAGGGCACGGGGGCGCTCGTCTATGACAGCTCGGAGTTCCAGCAGGCCATGCGACTGTTGGACGGCGGGCTGCCCTCTCAGGCTGCTGCTTGCCGCGCAAAATGACGCTCAAAAGAATAGCACTGTACATGTGACTTGTTACTTGAGTGATTCTCGTATTTTCATGTGAGCAAGGTATCGTGGTTGTTTTCCTCCCGTTCGTGTCTTTTGTTTGTGTGAGCAGGTATATGTGTCGATTTATGTACTTCGAATTTTGTATATATGTTTACATTGAATCTTGGAGGCCACGAAATTGGCGAGCTAGTCTGGTACAAGTGGTGCTGTGTTAAGATTGGTGGTGCGCAAGCCATGCCCTGCCTCTGACAAATGTACGGCATTGATTTACAAACGGCCGCTATTTACTAGTGCGGTTTGTTTTCTCCTTTCTCTCTTGCCAGCAGCGTGTTGAAAGGGGCATGGGAATGTTTAACTTGTGATCTTGATGCCTGTCTTCATAAATGGGTATGCCGTCGCGAACTGGCCCGAGGTAATGCTGGTGTGCATGGATCCCAGCAACGATTTTTTTGTTTTGTGCTCATCAAAGCGGAAGAATAGAAGATGCGTGTGTTCGGCTCTGCCTGACGCAATAAAACATCAACGGCGTTAACGCTCATAAATACCCCTGGTTGTTTAGATTTTCTCGGCTCTGGCTTTAGCATATCATTACACTCGTTTCGAAAGAAGGCCTTGGTTCCAATAGCAATATTTGTGTGTGGTGATTTAAGGTACATGGCGGTGCCAAGTAGTACTGTCTCGCAGCTCACATGCGCCAGGGGCGTACACTTTCATATTTTGCCAATTGCTTACTGGTCGCGTGTCTTTTCTCTGTGCAGTTTTGGAACACGTGTAATTATTCACCTCTTTCTGCGCCTTCCCGTAGATGCTAGAGGTCAAGTATGGGGACTTTGTTAATCTGAGGACCAAACGATGATGGTGGCAGAATCCCTCTTCCTTGTTTATTTAGAGTGCATGTACAATACAGATATATAATATGTCCACGTCTCCTTGTTGTTTGTTGATCAAGAAAAATATGATTTTGCCACCATCATCGTTCGGTCCTGCCGGCTAACTTTGTCCCCATGTGTGACCTCAAGTCTCTGCGCCTTCCCGAACATATATAGTTTTAGGGCACCTCTGCGCATTGTCGCAGAGGCTAGAGGTCAAATATGAGGCCTATGTTAGCCCAGGACCGAGTGATGATGACAGAAACCTTTTTTTGCTGCTGCCGTTGATTACCACCCACCACCACCACTCAATAATTAGAAGAAAATTGACAGTAACAAGAAGACGAAGCACACAATACAAAGAGGCTTAAACATACCGGTATTTAACTCAACACACATGTGCGCGCGCTCTCTCTCGAGGCCCCCCGCACTTGGACCCCAGACAGCATGGTCTACGCCCCCCATCCTAGATTGGATGCCGCAAGAAAAAAGTACGAAGTATAATAATGAAGTGCCTCAAACAACATGCAGCTGTTGTGTGGATCATCGGTGTTGCTTCCGCCTTGCTCTCTTGCGAAGGACGACGCCATTTGCGAAGGTGTACCGATTCTGGTAAAAGTCGATCGACGGATACCCTGCGGATCGGGTGAACAGCAGTAAATACAGTAGTCTAGTCTAGATTGCTTTATTAGTGTACGGTCTGGGAACGAACGCTCATACAACTCTTACAACAATGCATCTCACAGCGGCAGCAACAGTTGCTCCACTGTGCAGAACTACAAAACACTCGTGTGAATCATAGCTCATCATTTCGAATTTACCCAACCTCCATCCGATCCAGCCACACCTTTTCTCTCTCTCTCTACCCCGGGTAGGTAGGGCTGCGACGACCACGGAAGAAAGGTGTCTCAGACCAGCTTCATTTAGATAGATTTTATGCCACAGACATATCCTTCACAGCATGTCAATTAATTAAGACCAATCGGTTTGTGACCCGTCTCCCACTTCATCATCTCAGTCCTCTGCTCCAGTGCGTTGTTTCTGAGTTGCGCACGCGTTCTTACTACTGAAGGACAGCACGGTGTACAAACACACATGCATGTTTTCCTGTGACAGCACAGCCCGCTCCGCCCCGCCCCCTCCACCCCTCCCCCCCGCAAATGCTCATTTGTTTTTTACCCCAAGGTCCCTACCGAAATCATAAATTGCCCAAGCCACGGCGCCCCAAGCCACCGCCGGACCGGTGCTGTGGACGATGGGGGCGGCTGAAAAAGTACGGCGGGCACTCGCAGATGGTATCCCGTCGATTTGTGCGACCCCCCCATAAAACCCCGCCGGGCAGGCCACAGCAGGCTGCATGTTCACAGAGCCGTAGGAGCCTCGTCATGGGCACCAGACAGAACTGAACCTCGGTATACTGTTGTGATACTTGTGGTAGAGCTGTCGGTGCAAGTTTTGGGCGTTTGGCAGCTTTCTGTGCGAAGAACCGAATCTGCCTCGCGTCAGTGCTCCCATACGCGGAGCAACTCGGTCCAGCAGCCGCACCACGCCCAGGTTAGTGCCCAGCAAAGAGTCTTCGGCTCTCAGAGGTTGCGTCGTGTAGCTGAGGTGTTTTACTTACTACTGCTGTGATATCATCGTCGATCTCTCTCTGTAGACGCCAAAATCGACAATTTGACGAGCAGCTGTATACCGCCATTTTCAACGGTTTTCTGCAGCATGGTCCGTGGTTTCCGCGCCTCGTGCGACAAAGGCGTGCACGGCAAAGAAGCAGCAGCAGAAGGGGAGCTTCGGCGGTGCTTCGCGTGTGACCGTCCGGGTAGCCGCGACGGGTGCTCAACAAGGTGGCAACACGTGGGGGACTCGGAAACATGGGCGCTGCTGGGCGAGTGGTCTGCGAGCGTTGGATCAGGCTGGCGTCATGATCGCGATCTTCAACAGAACCCTCTCCGGGTGGGGGAGTGCATCTGTTCCCGGACGGACTGCGTGATTGGTTTGTACAAGACGTACGTGTGGAGGCGGCAGAGGGACGAAAAAGGGCCTTTGCACAAAATGGTGGTTGGACAGCGGTCGCCGATGGGCCGGTACCCCTCGACGGGCTCTCAGGTATGATGCTGCAGATACACCACCTCTGTCTACGGCAGTGTACGGTAAGGACACGGGGGTGTCAGCATTTATCATAGCGTGATTTCTCCACGACCAGGAGGGTACCACTGCCGACAAGGGTAGTTTTGAAAAACCACGTCGAGGACTTGCCTGAGAGGTAGGTAGGTGTTCGCAACCTCATCGCCGTGCCAACACCCCCGTGCGTTCTCTCGCATCCTTACGGTAGGTCGTCTCCGAATTCTAGACCGCGCAAAGCCACCACACGTAGAAAGAACCCAATTTCTAGTTTGGTGTGTGCTTTCTGCCTCTCCTTTTTTCTGGGATCTTGACCGTCGCCATGTGCCGTTTGTTAATGGCATGGTACCGGGCGGTGCCCGACCCATCTCTGATCACATGACTCCCTCGCCCTGCCTCTTATCGAGTGACAGCAGTTGTTCGGTTAGCCTTAGTTGCTGTTTCTCACGTTAGGTCAATGGTAAGTACGAGGAATATACCGTTGTGCGTCGTTCTCTTTGAGGTCCTCTCCGAGTTGTGAGAAGAGCCTCAACCGCTCCCCCGAAGACATCGGAACAAGTATATGTACTGCTGTAGAGCGGCGCTCTTTTTTTTTTCCGCTGCCCGCACACTCCCTCTGCCAGATACCACCTACCATCCGAAGACATCGGAAGAAGTATATGTACTGCTGTAGAGCGCCGCTCATTTTTTTTTTCTGCTGCCCGCACACTCCCTCTGCCAGATAGCACGTACCATCTACAGTAGTAAGAATAACAGATGAAGTGACCACCACGTTGCTTTCGCGATTTTCAGGTGTGAGCCCTTCTGGAACACGTGAACCTGGAAGGCAGGGTACTCGATTGCTGTGGTGCCGCCCAAGACGCAGTCTACACCGTCCTGAGTTCACACCGTCTTATATGCAGCTCTTGTAGGACACCCGCCATGCCCCGAACGACAACCAGCAAGAGGGTCCGAGCGACAGCCACCAAGTAGCCACCCCACGACCCGTCCACGGCAGACGGGCCGTCCACATACATGAAGCGGTCCCCTGGACAAGCGGTATTCGGTGCCGGGTTCACCGTGTCGTCCAGATTGACGTTGTAGCATGCCCTGAATACGCGCAGTTACAAGCAAAAATCACGTCAAACGGCGCCCGTTAACTGTATGTATGTGTTGTGCACTTAACGGCGTGGCTCAACTGGCAGGGATCCACGTCAATCTACTCGTGTGCAAAAATTGGAGGATCTGCACGTTGCCGTGTTCCAACAAGCCTTGCCTTTTGGCGCTGGGATATGAGACTCATGGATCTCCTTAAGGCTATTCCGATCCAAGTACTGTTGGTGTATACTTAGCTACCATGGTCATCGTCCTCTACCCAACGCACGTTGTTTGTGTCTAGGCCGTGGGGGAAGGAGAACAACTTGAACGTACAAGTAGAAAGCAAGGACGTTCCGTTGTAAAGGGTTTCGATTCACCCTTTACTGCTACCATTGGCATCGCACGTGCAAGATATTCAGTTGGTTGCTACAATTATTCGTTCATGGAGGTATGGTGTCTTGCCCTACCGCTGCAACGCGGTTAACGGGATCCTCCCGCACATATAACATATTTGAGCCTGCGGTCATATTCAGAGCACTAAGCAGTTATGCACTCCTCACACGAACAACAGGCGAGAGGAATATGTACCACATACTACAGGGTACAGGCGCATGACGGCACTCTTCGGGCCTAATCCTGCCGTAGGTGACACAAGATACCACACCCCCTGGACCGATTGTCAAAGCTCAATCACTCCACGACGAAGAGGACGCAGAAATCAAACGACACGTTCTCGAAAATCTCTTGACCAGGCGGCTTCAACGCCGCCGTTTTCGGCCTTGCCGTAATTCTGTTGTGGAGAAATCGAGCTCTGAAAACAGCTTCAGGGGGTGTGGTATCTTGTGTCACCTGCGGAGTGTTTCCAACCTCTAACACCACATGACATGGCGTACATGTGCAACACGGCCTACGTAGAACGCAGGCAACTCTGCGAAGCCGGCGAGAGGGATCCTGCTTTTCTACGTGCACACAAAACACTTGATCGGGAGGCCTATCCCTAAGCTGCAAGTGTTGCTGATGTGCGTAACTCCGGTCAACTTGAGTTGTCGCGCGTACCACCAGCCACGACACCGACACATGATACACGGCAGCAGCGCACAACACACGAACAAGCAGGGGGTGTGCTCCCGAATATGCGAACTCACCCACAATTATCGGTGCCGACTATCACAACCAACCGTTACAGTATGCATATCCTGCGGAACTCTCCTTCTCGCAGAGAGGCTGATAACCCTAGCGCTGTCATGAACACCGCGTCGTGCGCGGCGAGACTCCCGCTCCGGCGTGACTTCAAGGCCATCCAAGGCCACTTCGGCGATGCCCCAAAGTTAGTGACCAACACCCGTGTACGCTAAGGCAATGAGAAATATCAGTAGCCACACACCTGCTCCACGCAGTCCTTGCGTTCTTGCCAGTCGTTCGCTGCCTCCTAGCTGAGCTTTCCACCTCTCCGTGAAGCCTCTGGACACGGTCTCACTCTAGCCCAGTTAATAAGGACTCTGGAGGAGGCGTGTTTTTGTATGAGGTCTGCGCGCCATCGCCGCATAAAAAAAAAAACATCCTAAACCCAATAACACTGCCCACCCACTGGCTCGCACATTAACGTCATTCATCTCCTGCACACTTTTTCCAACCAGCAACACCTCTCACACCCTAGTAGAAATGGTCGCCACTCAGCTGTTCCTCGGCTCTGCCGCCACCCTCATCGCCTCCTCGGCTGCCTTCGTCGCACCGGTGGCCGTGCGAACGGCCGCACCCGCTTCCTCTTCTTCGGCCCTCAAGATGAGCGCTGGATCGGACTACGTCGCAACCCTGCCCGGAGCTCCCTTCGGTGATGGAAAGGTGAGTGCATTGAGCAGCAACGCAATGCCACCACCGTAGCTGCTGTTGCGCGGCCACCTAGTACGATCGCTTCGAGACCAGCGACGTAGAGCTGTGCTGCGTCAACCGCAGGCAGAGGAAAAAGTGTCCGCTCGGGCGGATGTTCTCTGACAGCGAAACCAACAACCGTCGCACATGTAAGAAACGATCAATTCGAGATCCGCCCGCCGTATCAGGACATCCATACGCACTTTGGGTCTTACCTCGCCACGTGGTGATGCAGCATATGGCGTGCCACCACACAGACTCTTGGTGCGCCCTTCTACGCCTAGTGTGCTGCGTCAATCTAACTCGTGCCCCCCCGCGTTTGTTCCACGCCGGCTAACCGTTCATCGAACCGCCCGCCACGCCAGATCTTCGACCCCCTCAACCTCTCGGACGGCGCTGACCCCGCCGAGATCAAGAAGTGGCGCGAGGCCGAGATCAAGCACGGGCGTGTGGCCATGCTTGCTTCCCTCGGCGTTATCGTCGCGGAGGTGAGGCGCTGCTCCGCGCACACGTGTGCAGTAGCAGCTCGTCGGCACCGCGGTCCATGNTTCCCTCGGCGTTATCGTCGCGGAGGTGAGGCGCTGCTCCGCGCACACGTGTGCAGTAGCAGCTCGTCGGCACCGCGGTCCATGTCGGATGTTGCTGTTTTTCTTCTGGAAGCAGCCTCGATGTCGATTTTCATATTGCTCATGTTTAGTGGGTCCTCGTCCCACCTACAACTGCCTCCCGTTCTCCCTCTTGCTTTTTTTGCCATTGCCCGCTCCAGCAATACCACCCTCTCTTCATGGGCCCCGATTACATCGGCCCCGCTGTGGACCACTTCCAGGAGATCACCGCGCAGTACCCCGAGGTGAGCGCGCTCATGCACAGAACTCTCCGCGATGGAACAACCGTGACCCACTTGTGGCGAACAGACTCTTTTTTTTTTTCGATCTGAGTCATTCAGAAGTCTACCTGGGGATGTAATCTTCCGCTGACTTTGTCTTCGTCATTGCTGTACTCTCACGTCGATGAGCGTTACATGGGGGAATGGAATTCGCTCGTCCGCCAGAGTTAGTAGAATCTGAACGAGCGAGCAGTTTTTCTGTGTTTGGTGGTCGACAGGTCACACGCGTGCGTCAGGGATTCAGATGATGACGTCGGGGTGCGTGCGTGGGCGTCTACGCGTCAGTAGATTGAAAGACCCCAAGTGACTCAAGTACAGCCAAAATGAAGGGTGTCTGAAGTGATGCCGGCCCACTCGTCAAAAGTACGCCGTGCATTACCATGGTATGGTACAAGTGATACTTGGTAGGGAAGCATGAAGAGTGGAGGCTCAGGTTTTTTGTTTTTGGAAAAGAAAATTGAAAGCTGTGGCCAACTCGTCGCCGCCCGACAACACTGCTGTTTTCGCATTGCGCATATGCTACACAATCGGTAGGAATAATGTGTCCTCCATGGTTGCGACATCAAATGAACAGCACCACTGGACTACAGCAGTAGTCTACCATGATATGAGCGCATCAACAGCCTGAAAAGCGTGGTTGAGATGTGTGCCCATTGCACGAGAACCACCGGAGCGAAAAACATGCGCGGGATTGAGATGCGCAATAATGAGATGAGCTAAATCCTCCGTACTCGTAGTCATAATGCAGTGTTCTTTTCTTCCGCACATCATATCTTTTCTATATAGATAGCTGAGATAGGAAGGTACGTGCAGACAGCGAGGCTCAACTGCTGTGGGGAAGAAAATAAAAAGGGCTAAGAAACACAGCTCAAGGTCAGCAACAACATAGAAAAACCCCGCAAACAGAAACCTGTCCTCCATAGTTGTGACATGAAATGAAAATTGTAAAATACACACCACTGGACTACAGCAGTTGTCTACCATAATATGAGCGTATCAATAGCCGGAAAAGCGTGGTTGAGATGTGTGCCTATTGCACGAGAACCACCGGAGCGAAAAACATGCGGGTCATTGAGATGCGCAATAATGAGATGAGCTAAAACCTCCCTACTTGTAGTTATATGCAGTTTTTTTTTTCTTCCCCACATCATATCTTATTTATGGATAGCTGAGACAAGAAAGTACGTGCCAAAAATGAGGCTCAACTGTGGAAGAAAAATAAAAACGGCCGAGAAACACAGCTCAAGGTTAGCAACAACATAGAAAACCCCCTAAACAGAAACATGATGGTGCCATATACCCCACAGACGTGACAAACAAGGGGTAGCTGGGGTAGCGTATCGAGTTTGAAACGTCCCACTGCTGCTCCTTCAGTTCTCTCACCCCCTCACCTGGCTGAAGAGTGCTTTTTTGTTGTAGGGGGGACAGTGGAGCTGCCATACATTGTGGACAACCACATGCTGCCCCCTGTACCGGCTTTGATAGCACTCGCCACCGCCTCCCTGAGGGCTTCGAAGACGAAGATTGTCTTCAAAGAGATCAATAGCACAAATGAGGAAATGCGAAGTACTTTGGAAGGATGCGAATCAGGAGATTTCGGAATGCCGACTACGAAGTGTTGGGAGAAAATGGGCAACTTACAACCTTCCACCAAGAAACGTACCTTTGATGGTCACCGTGGACAGCTCTGCCTGGTGTGTTCTCATAGACTGTTGTACTGGAAATAGCAAAAACAGATCAGATTGTTGCAGTCAGAGATTTTCTACAATAATGACGCGGTGCTGAACTGGTTCTGTTTCCTGCAGTATTGTCCTGTACGCTGCATGGTGGTAATGGAAGGAAGCAGCACCTTGATTGTTTCGAGTAGTTTCGCCCCTTTACTGTCACTAACGGTTTGTGTCCCTCGCCTGATTCCTACATCACCACACCAATGTATTTCCTCCTCGCTCGCACCTGCCACCTCCATGTAACATGAGTTGATATAAGCAAACTGCAGAACAAAGCAAAACACATCATCCGTATCCCCACATCGCCGATGCACCCCTGACGCTCACTTGGCCACAGTTCTGGGTGTTCTCCCTCCTGGGCATGGCCTTCATCGAGTACAACACCATCACGACCGCCTTCGACACCCCCAGCGCTGTGACCGGCGAGGGCGGCCTGAAGGAGGACTACAGCCCGGGAGACCTCGGCTTCGACCCCCTTAACCTCAAGCCCGATGACGAGGAGGCCCTGGACGTGATGAAGACCAAGGAGCTCAACAACGGCCGCCTGGCCATGATCGGCATCGCCGGCATGCTGGTCCAGGAGCTGGTCAACCCGGCCAACATCCTCGGCTAAAAGATTTTAATTCTACCGTTAATATAGATTGTTTCGTCTCTGCCTGTGTTTCAAAATGTGTAACTTTCCATCTGTGTGCAGGCCTCCGGTGATCGCGTGACAGTCATTGGTGATTGAACGTGTTTCCAACTTGGTTCAGTTAGAAAATCTGCAGTAAGTTTTCTGTGGAGGATGCAGGATGATGTTTGAATTTGTGGCCTACTCTGGAATTTTGTCGAGGCCGTGGCTGATGTGTTGTGATCTTTTGTTGCCCATGTCGTGTGGTTTCCTCGGCAGTTTTACTATTTGTTCGTGACGGTCGGCCTCGGTCGCGCATCGCACAAGTAGTTGTCGTGATCTTCTCCACGAATTGTTTCGAATCGAAGGGAAAGTCGTGGACAACGACTCTGTGTCGTTGTTGGCAGGTGATGATAAATTTTTGTGTTGGATTTTATACTCGAAATTCATTCAAATTTTGTGGCGCGTTCCCTGTGGGGCGTGCCGGGCGAGTCGGAAAGCGCAACCTCTAGCCACACCCGCCTAGAGAAGACTTGGGCGAGCGCGTCTAAGCCTTCTAGCCCAAGTCATTCGTGGTACGATCACCCAGAGCTGCAAGGTGAAGCGGAAATCACATCATTGAGCCGGTATACTCAAGTCAGCCGCTACCATCCCACCCGCGGCGAGTATCAACAACCCGGAAAGCATACACAAGTTGTTGTTGTTGTTGTTGTTGTTGTTTTCTTCACATTAAACTCGTGTCAGGTGCTAATCCCAAAATCTAGCAAAGACTTTCGTAGTCACATGAAAACTTGTGCAAACCTTGGCTTCGTCCTTAGTACACACACTAGTGGACGTATGCACCCCCTCCTACAGCATCCGTGGTGTGCAGCTACTCATGCCTGATCACAACATAACCCAGTGAACTACAACCACACCTATAATTGTTGTTTTCTCACGTTAGCTCTATTGTTCACAAAAAATGGGAAGCCCATGGTCACAACACCCAGCATATTAGGAGAAACGAATATACACAGAAACACTACCCGTTCGAGGTATAACTACACTCGAAGGGGATGTGTTGAAGTCTTAACAATGAGTAGAGGAAAACCAGCTGGGTACTTGACTTTTTTCATATACAGAGCCGCCGCGGGAAAAAAAAGGGAAAACGACACAACAGGGTATACCCTGGTCGAAAAGTGACACAACTGGGTACACAGTCAT